ACATGGGTTTAGTTTCTGATCTGTCTACAATTCCCACTTCTCATGTAGCATGTCGGTTCAGTGGAGCTAGAGCTGGAGGTGCTTGGATATAATTGCGGTGATGAGTATTTTCACTGAAAGCTTTTTGCTGTGACAACAGTATGGTGTTTGAAATCATGTAGTTCTCAGTGGGTCACTAATGTGGTTTTATCCCTTTTCCCAGAGGGTATTGGCAGAACATCTAGGGTTTGGAGAGCCGCTAATATTAAGTGACAAAAGCAAGCTGCCAATTCCCAGACCATGAAGCAGCATCAGACACTGTCAGACAGTGATAAAGAGAGAACGTTGAAAGCTCCACTAGAAGGAGGGGATTGAAACTGGCCTTTATGTTTCCTGTAATGTGGAATCTTTCTTTCTCTAGAATGTGAAAAATATTAATTCTCCATTTCCCCTCAGTTCTCGTATCTTATTTCTATACTTTAATGGAGAACAGCTTTCTATTCTCTGTCATGTGAAACCAAGTAAATAATAGCCAGGCCTTTTAACTTTCTTGTTCCTTTTCTCTAGGCAATCAAGTTTGTCAGCCTCCTTGACTTGTACAGCCTCAGTCTGGACTCGATTTCCTAACAGAGCAGTAGTAAGTAGAGTTACTGTGAATGTTTTAAAAACAGAGTCGTTTATATTCTCAGGCTGCTGCTGTTCTTTTTTTTCTTCCTTTTTCCTAGTAATATGAGATTATGGGTTCATAGTTAGCCCATATTTGTCTCACTCTATCTTTCAGACATACTTCTGCAGTGTATCAGGCTACTCTGTGTTGTGCATTTATGAATTTGAGCCTACATTTTTCAACGTGTTTGTGGTCACTCAGTTGCATCTTGTTCTTCCTAGGCTGTTCTCTCTCTTCACACTCCAGTCCTGCTCTTCTATATACTCTGCCTTTCCTAGTTTAATGCAATTTGCTGAGTTTAATAGGTCCGTTCTCTCTTAAATGTTCTGAAATCTAGCAACAGTCAGTCTTTTCATTAGCACATAGGTGATCCCGCCTGATGCATCCTTTCAAACTACACAGAGCAATTGATGAATACTCTTTTGTATGATGATTATTATTTTAATTCACAGAAGTCTGTGGCTATAAAATTATGTAGAGAGTATCTCTCTAGGTTAAGGAGGGTAATGATTTGTCAGACTGTACCATGACTAGGTTAGATCAGTTTGATGTGGTGTCCACTCAGGAAATGCACTGCTACTCACTTTGCTGTGCTAAAACATTATGTTTGAGTATTTCTGGGAAGATTGGCCTGCGGTTTCCTGTCTTCTCATCTTTTTCCTTGGTGGTATGTTGCCATTTTCCAGTCTCCTGTCCTTAGTAATTTTCAGAGGTACCTATGAATGTGTTTATGAGGGTTTCTGATGATTCTTAAAATGCCTGAGAGTCTTTCAAGGGTAACAATTTTCACTGCACTAGTACTGCAGGCTCTTCCCTTCCTGGTCTTGCCGAGCTGTGCTGATCCTGAGTGGGCACACGCTGTCTCGTCCCCGTGAGCAGGACAGACCTGACTGCTCCTATGGCTGCTTATTGCTGTGATCTCAGACATATGTAAAATCCAAGTGTAAGTGCTTGAAGTACTATGTTGCTTACTTAACAGGTACTTAGTTGCCCCATTAACAGAATAGTGGTCCCAAAGCAATACTGACACAATAAAAAGAACAGAAGCTGTATCGAATACATGTATGTTCTTTACTAAAAGTTTTGTGTAGAGATCAGCATACTGAAAATCAAAGCAAGAGAAATGACTACAGAAATACAGTATTGTTTTCACATAACAAGAAGCAACATGTCCAAACAATTTTCTTTCTGATATTAGTACGTAATAAATGAAAGGCCTGTGTCAAGTCTGTTTTAGGACAAGTGTTAAAATTTAGGATAAAATCTGATAGGATATGAATTTCTTAAGAGGAGCTTCAGGAGGCACTCTGTCAACTCCGCTGAAATTTATACAGCATCTTAAATATTAAATTTGAAAACTTATTCTTATTGTAGGATCACAAGAAATGTCAACACTGTTGCAATAGTTGCAGCAGAAGCTGTTAGAGCAGCTTTAGAGCTATAAAGCTCCCTTACTAGAATTGTCTGTTGCAGAAGTACATGGGTTGGATTTATAAGCCTTTGCCCCCGTTTTTTTTTTTGTTGGATATCACCTACTTAAAAAGATTATAAAGAGTAGAAAATTATAAGCCATTCTTGCAAGTGATTGTGGTAAGATATCACTGAAGGTAGCATACTGGACTTTTAACTCACAGTTTGTTTTTTTTAAAGATACTTGTTTATTAATGAATGACATAACCTATGCACTTAGCGGTAACTTAGAAAAATGCTACAATATGTAAGTGTATGTTTTGGCTGGCTTACATATCTGTATGACAAAAAAGCTGGGATTATTTTGCTGGTCAAGTCCCTCACTGCAAAGTCTGTGTAGTGTGTTAACTAGATGACTTGACTTTATAAAGCAGTATACCACAAGAGGGAGTAGACAGCTCTTTGTAAGTAATGCTGCTACATACAATCCAGCTCACAATGCTAAAGGTGTGTAACTTAGCAAATGAACAAAGACTTTGATTATTTTTTTATAATCTTGGTAATGCATTTCTATCTCTAGGTAAAATACAAATCTCTCATTTTCATCAGAGGCCTACTTAAAATTAGTTTATTTTTTAAACCACAGATAGAAAGTTAGTGGAAGGGTATTAAATCACTGTTAGGTTACAAGCTCGCCGTTAGGTTACAAGCCAGGCAGGTTGAAAGGATTTCCCAAAATGCATGGAAAGCGTGAGTATCTGTTAAGAGTAGAGGCTTGCCTTCCAGATGTGAAAAGCCCTCTGTGGTTGTCTTCAGAAGAACCTTCAGGTTTGCCATGTTACATGTAAAAGAGACACATGCTTTCAGAGAAAAAAAAATAAAGAAAAAAAATCACATTTGCCTTCTGATGTTTATTAGATTTCCCTTTCTACCTCCCCACTAGAGGCCTGAGGTAAAAAGGGTCTGGTCCCAGTGATTTACCCTGTTCTAGGCAGATCTCCAAGAGCTGCAGGAAGACACAACTATGAAAGCATGACTTATTCTGCATAAATAAGCCTCTGTGCTTTCCTTCACTTCTTATCTTCCTGCCAATAAAACTGACTGGTACCTTTCTGTATGAGTTTTTAGTTCTGGTCCCTAATAGATGGTGTAGAGTTTTGTCTCACTACAGGCCACTCTGCATACCACAAAACTGTTTACATTAGTGCTTTATACTGAGGGATAGTTCTGTCTGTTAGAAAAACAAATGTGGAATATAACCTACATTCTGGCAATGCCTCCCAGCAGTTTTGCAGTGCAAAATTGTGTGGGGGGGCTCGTTTTGTTTTGGATATAGTGTACTGAGACTAGTGAAAATCTTGCTGAGCTGTAAAAGAATAGTTACGTTATTTTAGCAAAATACATATTTACTCTTCTCTACTTCGCAAAAAATGCATACTTACCTTATCTCACCATGTGCATATGACTCAGTAATGGTGTAATTTATACAGCAGTAAGAACCATATAATTACTTCCCATCTAAGTGTTAATTATAATTGTGTCAATCTTTGGAGTGTTGAATGATGATTACAGTTGGAAATTATTTAGTATTTACAGAAAATCTTAAGTGCAATTTTAATAATTTGGATGATGCTTCCTTTTAAACACAGTTATATATTTACTATACTCATTTTTACATAGCCTTCAGTGGGGGTAGTAAGCTGAAGTCCTATTTTATCAGTGTAAAAAATTTTGTTTTTTCAGTGAAAACACTGCAAAGAGATTTAGTGGAGATGAGTCTCTGATAACTCTGCTAACTAGTACTGACTGAAGATGTAGTTTAGTCCTTGTGTGGAGATGGGGTGTTTGTGTACCATGCGAAATTAAGCTTTCACATCTGCAATTTGCCTCTGCTATTCCTGCTAGCCGGCATCTCCAGTTTGTGTGCGTTTATCGTATGAGTGTGTGAGAAGTCCAGGTCTGTGAACAAAGGCTAGTTTTGTGGGTAGCAAAATTAAAGTGAAAAGCCTCGTGCCTAATAAAAGTGGTTTCTGCATAAAGTGAACTTCTCTGTTACTGTGCACGTCTAGTCCAGCATCTATTACTTACATCACACTAACACGATTACTAGAGGTCAAGCTCCTCAGTAACACTACAGGCTCCTCACTGAAGAGACTGGGGGGTGCCTGAAAATGCAGTCACGCGTGGGAATTGACAGGAAGCATCTTCTGAGGTGCCAGACACTGCCCTTCCCTTGGCTCCAGCGAGGGCTGTTAAGAGCAAGGAGCTCCAGGCTGTAGCACAGCTTCCCTAGGTAAAGCCAATATTTTTTGGGCATCCACTGCCACCTGTCCAGCACTTGCTGCTCTCTTGTCTTTCGAGGAATACCTGGTACTGGCTAGGCTTACCAAAGGAAAAACATGACTATCAAAATATTATTCTCCTCTTTCTTTTGCTCCTATACGGTACTGACAGTTTTGCAGGCAGTGTTCTGTCTCTGTCTACTGAAATACATATTTAGACGACTTACTTAAAAATGCTTTGTTGCCAAGACACTAAATGAAATGTACTAGTGACACCTACAAAGACAACAAAATGCTCTTTCTTTTTTTTCTGCTCTAAAACATGCAAACTATCATAAAATCAACAAATAGGCTTGACTGGATAACATGTATCTACAACAAGAGTGGCTGAGTGCAATATGTTTTGAAATGCTTCAAAAAGGTCAGATGCACAGCTTGTCACTGCTGCTCTTTTATGCTGTGTGATGTCATGGAACGCTTTGAAGCACAAAGAAGGGAGTTTAGGTAAACTTTCAAAATTCACTGTAAAAAATAAAATCCCATTGCATCTCTGTTTAAAGATATAAAATATGTAAAACTTTTCAAAGGTTTTATTCTTCCATTTCAATGTTTTTTGTCGGTTCAAGTTCTTCAGAAGAATTGAAGGAAAGAGCCACTTTTATTCACATGATTTGGTTCAGAAGGGTCTGATAGTCAGTGGAAGAATTTTTCAGTACTTCCATTGGAATAAGTGGGATGGGGATATTCTGTTCACACACCACCGTCTCATACAGGGGAGCAGCCTCCAGAGCGAGAGATGACAGAGAGATGGATGAAATGGGCTGCTGCAAGTCCTGCAGCCTGACTGCGTAATTTGCAGCCTGTCCTGCAGTCCCAGACGCTGCTTCCTCTTCCAGGTTAATGTTTATAGATATTTCATTTCTTTGACAAGGGTCCGTAAGAGAATATGGGGGGGGATCATCTGTGGGAATATATATTTGTGTTGCTCCTGGCCCCACACATTCATCGTAGCTGTAAAATAAATAAAGAAAAAAAGATTTGATATTAGATTCCTGATTAGATGCCAAAGTACATTATTTTCAGCGTAACAAGAGCAGGTAAAGTGCGAAGAAAAGGATAATCTGGTGTTTTGTTCCTCAGCCTACATCCTTGCTTATCCTGCCATGTGAGGTACCTGAGAGCACAACACTTAAAAGCACATCTCCAAACACCTAACGGTAATGGTGTTGTCATAGAGCACTCTGTATCTAAAGTAGAATATCGCGTCAAATGCTGTCCTCCTGATCAAATGCTGTCCTCCTGACTCACGGTCTCTGGTGCTCTGGCAGCAGTTACATGCAGTGGGTCGCCTGGGTTGCAGATTTGTGCTGGCAGAGGCAGCAGGATTTCTTGCTGAGGTGCAGAGCTGTGATGAAAAATCTTGACAGATTTACGCTGGTCATTCTGACACTCGGCAGATTCCCCGTCACGGTCCTCCCAAAAAGGAGGAATGCAAGACGGACCCGATTTGTGGAATTTCCCTGGGAAGCCAGCTTGGGTCTATCCAGGCTTCGTAGTTGTGTCTGTACCGCACGCTAGAGCCAGGGGAAGCTGTTGCCTCCTCACTCCACTACTGTGCTGGGTACTTGCTGTCCTGGTGTGAACGCAGGCAGGCACTTTGGATTGGTTCTTGGACTGCACAGCCCAGGGAGGCCCTCAGGTGTAAATAATGAGCCTGGATGGAGCAGTGTGTCTTTGTGCTTGTGTTATCCCGTGTTCAGTGCTGCAGGAAGGGGATGGGTGTGAGCAGGCTCCACACCTCTTTACTGTGCTGCGCTGGCACTGCCCGGCCTGCTGAGCCTCGGGGCTCTGCAGAAATTGCCCTGTGGCCCCAAGGAGGGCTGAACCAGAACTGGTGTGTCTGGTAGTTACCTGGATGGTCCACTGTCTGGCTATCCTAGCATCACCTCTTTATCCACAAACGAAAGCTGACTCCACTTTTGCTATCAAACCAGCCTGGGTCTAGTGGTCGGAAGGAAGGTCCTGTTCTCCTGTCTCACTGGCTACAGGCAAAAATGAGGAAGAGTCATAACATCATGGTCTTATATATTAGACCTGCTTTGTTTGTGACTGCTTTGTTTAACTGTTTCAGTATCGTTTTAAATCCAACTCTGAAGGAGGGCATGTTTCCTATAAAAAAACCTTTTGCCTACTCAGTTAACCTGCAAAACAGTTCTGCCGGCGCCAGACAAATTAAGAACCCGTTTCCTCAACCGCACTAACTGCAGAGCTATTAAGATCTAGGATATTTCCTGAAACTTAGGATATTTAGCATATGTCTTTCCAGTAGACTGCAGGCAGTCATTCTGCCCCTTGTAATTGCATTACTGCCAGGCTAAACCCAAGATAATAAACCCAGCTTGTAGATTATGAGTGGCTTGCCGCAGGGTGGCTTGCGTTGCTTAGAGTGAGCTCAGATCTACTGCAACCAACCAGCAAGTCCGTATCTTAGAAAAATACCTGGTTCTGCTGCACTCAGTCATACCTTTCCCTGAGAGTGCTCCTTATGATTTTGAGGGTATTGTTCCTAGTCTGGGTGATGGAAATAATTTTTGGAGAAGGGAAAAGTAAGACAGTGAAATTTTAGTTAATTTTAGGTTACTAAACTCAAATATCCACAGATGTTTCTATTTTTACCTCCCTTTTATCTTACTTTTATATTTGTGAGGACCATGGTTTTAAATTCAGACTAGAAAATTTCAATTGCTTTATTAGAAAGAATGATACTAAAAGACATAACTTATTCTAAAGATCCTGAATAGGGTTGCTATATACTTCAGAAGCAAGTCCCAGCATGTAGGATGTTGAATTGGGTTTGTATGGCATGTGGAAAAGATTTCAGACCAGCCTCTCCTAAGCCCACTGAAGCTTTCAAGCAATCCTGATATTCTTTTTAAAGATCTTAGACCTGAGTCCTTGAGATCAAGGACCTGGTGTCCTCAACTCTTCAAGAACTCAGTGAGAGTAAAGGAAGAGTCAGTCTTTGCAGGATTACCTACTATGAGCTGCATCTCAAATTACATTTTGCTGACCCAAAGCCCAGTGAATTTATTTAAAATCATTCCATAGATTTTGACTGACTTAATCAGGCTAATGAAGAGCACCTACTGTTACCATGGCAAAAGAGTTTCAGTTTTGAAAAGCCCACAGCAACGTGAGTTTCAAGATGGAAAATTTTGAATCCTTTTGCTGAGACACAAAGGGGAAGAAGCTTCTCTACCTCGTGATTCTGGGCCCAGCACAAGAGAAATCTGCCACTGACCTAAAGGATAGAAGGGCACAGTATGAATAATCGTCTGTATTTCTTACCCTTGGATTTAATTTAGTATCTTTGATAGACTTGGTGGGATAAGTAGCGAATTGATCTTTAGTGAAGGAGACGTTTAAGCATCAAGACAAATGGTTAGCAAATTATAGTATTCAGGACCTGGCACTTTAGTATTTAGTTCCAAATATCAATGTGTTAGTGTTGGAGCATTTTTTTTTCTACTCACATATGATGGTTAAAAAATAATTGTCTCTTTTTCTCCAAACTCCAATGCAAGCAGTGTTCTCCCTCTCATTTTTGACAATTAAGTTCATGTTCAAAAAATGAAGAGGACAGTAAAGAACACATGACAAATTTTCAATTAAATAACTTTTTGCTACCTTCACAGCTGTATCTACAGATTGTTGTGGACAAAGAGGCAACTGGAAATCATTCAGATAGCTTTTTTTTAAGAAAGCCCCAACCTATTGTATTTCATTAGTGATTTCTGATCTTGATACTCAGTTTCCCATATTCTCTGCTAAGCATGGTATCTGCCTGTAATGCTGAAACTGCAAACAGCTATTGCTATGATACTAGTACTGAAGGCTACAGATAAAGTTCCTAGCATTTTCTGCTGAGGATAGAAAGGTGATGAATTAAGGTCATGTAAGCAACTTTAACTTTGTATTTTAAGTGGAAAACCAAAAATACTTGATAGTCTCTTGTGAAAAAATACAATAAGAGTTATGTTTTAGCCAAGGGATTCAGTTCTGTGAAGTTATTGTACATGTAAACAGTAGCTGATGCTTGAAGCTCAGTACAGCAGTCACAGGAAAACGCCTTTAAACGAGAAAGCAAAATGCTTTTGAAAACTATTATGTTACCATAACTTGGTAATGGACCACAGGAACTCTGGATCTCATTAATATCGTGCATCTCTTTTTCAGCCCACAAAAAAATCCTTAGTTTACAGTACTTGTGGTGAGTTCACTTTAATCCATTCCAAAAAAATAAAATTCTCTTAAAGTTCAGTGTATCTTACAGGCAGTCATGAGCAGGAAGAGGTTACCGATCATGAAATGTGCTGGGTGGGGTTTTTCTTTCTTTTTTTTGTCCTTGTCTCTTGTCCAAATAACTTCATTGTCATTGTAGACACTACGTTATTGAGTTTTTAAGGGATAATTCTACCAGGAAAGGCAAGGAGGGCTGATGTCTGTTAACATCATCTTACCATATGTAAATGTGATCTGCAAAGAGAAGAATGTTGCTTAAAAGATACAGCAGCTCTTCAAACTGACCTTGTGGACTTAGAATGTTGAGGGGGGCAGAAATAACTTCATCAATTTGTCAGGTCTCATTGCAGTAAGTATTAGAATAGATTTGTTGCTAAGGAAACCCCAAAGAGCTTATTTAACTAGCTGTCATTCATAAATTATGACCTACTCTGGGGAAAGAAGAAGGTTCTACTTACAGAATTTTTTAAGATGCAAACAATAGGTAAAGGAAAAAGGCACATCTGGGGAATGAAGAATTCTTATTGAAACAGATATTTTTGTTTACTTCATCCATTTGTTATATGTTATGACTCTACTAAAATTGCTCCTATTGTATTGTTTCCATTTTGCTGATGACCTACTGTCTTGTAATGGTAAACAGAATCACTAAATCTGGATAATACATGTGCTGACAGGTTTAAGCTGTGATGAGAACAACACAAAGGATGTTACCTAATGAAGAAGAGTTGAAATTAGAACAAATATATTGTAACTCTCTAAAAGGAGGATCGAAGGAAAAGAATAATGATGTGTTTGACTGTTTAAGTAGTTCAGCTGATGATGCTGTCTCTGATCATGCAATCTACTAACAGCTGGATTTGTAGGACGGCAGCTTGGAAATCTGTCAGTGTTTACTTTGAGATGTTTCCTCTTAGAATACATATATTCTTTGGTGATGTATAACTACCATGGGGAAATGTATCATTTTTGACAGAACTGGTGTTACAGTGATATATGTTGTGCGACAGGATATTTTTTTTTTTAGGTTTATTTTTTTATACTGATGGTTTCCTTGTGAGATACTAGGTGAATTTACTGCCTGTATTTTGACTTTCCTTCTGCACACTTTGTCAGTGATTTATTAAGCATTAGTTTAATATTTTCATATAATAGCAATCCATTCCATGTTACTGATGGTCTCAGTCATTCACTTAGTTTAAATCTTGACCAGTGACTTAGAATCAAGAGTCAAAACATCTTTCTTTCTTAATAAACACCCTGAACTGTTGGGGCCTAGTAATCAGAGAATGATAGTGCAAGAATAAGCAAATATAGTTAAGTGGCACCTCCTCCTATGCAGTTGCAGTCCTCTTAGTTATTGTGGTAGTATGAAATCAAAATCCATCTGTGTCTGGGCCTGGATGATAGAAGAATTTTTTACCATGACTGATCCCAAATTACAGTGGGTGAGAGTGTAAGTAACAAACATGTAACACCTAGGGGTAAGAGCCCACAGTGTCACCCAAGACAGGGTCCTGAAGGAATGATCCAGTGCTGGAGTATTTCCTGTGAATGTTTTGGCATATACATTTGAAATGTATCTGTTTAAACCACAAGGAGACTCCTCTTAAGGTACTCTGGAGGAACCTCTATCTTTGTATTATCTGTAGAGTGACACACTCCTGGGAGGTTAAAAGTTAATTTAGGAGTGTGGTAAATGCACCTCC